CTCTGGCGGTTTGGGCTCCCCGTGGCATGTTTGCTTTACCACCAGCCGCTCCCCGTTGAGCTTGGCCTTGGCTGCTCGTCCTGGAGAGGAACCTCTGCCTGACTCACTGGGGTTTTCACCTCTCCCTGCCTCACACACAGTCAGCAAAGGAGCCACTGTGCCTCACCAAGGGGGTTAGATGGGTGGGTAAGGGATTTTCATGGCCCAAGCAACAATTTTACGTAACGCCTTTTTGCCTGACCCGTGTGAGTTTGGCTGAAGAAGGAGAAAAAGGGGAGCTGTGCAGTGCCCATCCCTAAAATTAGCTTTTTCCTGAGCGACGAAGGATCTGCGCCCACCAGCTTTAAATAGCGGATAGTGTTGGGGAGGGCAGGTCGGTGCTGGAGCCGGAGCGGGACAGCGAGCAGGACACCTTTCCTCTGGCCTGGGGCGAGCATGGTGCTTGAGGAGGCAGAAGTGAGGTCAGGGAGGGAACATTCCCTTCTTCCGTGCCTCAGTTTCCCCAGGCTAAGGATACCGGTCCTGTGGGTGCGCTGCGGTTTTCCACGCAGCCACTTGGCTCGTCTCCCCAGAGCAGAGGTGGATGTTCCTCCTCTGAGGAATTTTTCCTGGTGGCTCAGCGTGATTCTGGGATGAAGCAGGAGAAACATCTCTGTCCTGCCTGCTTGTGGCCAGGGCCAGCCAGGCAGCGGCTGCCTGCCCTTGGGCCGGGCAGCGGCTGCCTGCCCTTGGCTCTCTTCCCCCGGATGTTTTGGCTCCGGGATCGGGTGGCCGCTGCAGCACCAGGTGTCCGGAGCATTTCCTCCAGGATGGGACAGCCCTGCGTTAGCTTGGCAGAGCCGCCGAGGAAATTTGGAGAGGTCAGGGCTACTGGCAGAAACCCGATTCGTGGCTGCGTCGTTCCCCCCACCCTCCATGCCAGGGTCTCCTCGGCCCCACAGGTGCTCACCCAGCACCACCGACACCGTGCCATGCGCCAGTGACATGGCACGGGCTCCCTGGCCAAGCCCACACCCCACCACTGTGGCATGGGAGGTGCCTTGAGCCTTTGTCACTGACTTAATTACTGTCATTACACTGGGAATTAGTGCCCAACCCAAGGGCTCGTTTAGATTTTAATTGTTTTATTGTCTCCTGTCCAGGAGGGTGGTGAGGAGGGAAGAGCTGGTCCCGGTGACATCCCCGGGTGCTGGGAGGAGACCCAGGGGTGATCACCTCATCCGTGCGTCTGTCCGCAGGGAAGTCCCACCTGGCCATCGTGCAGAAGGTGAACAACGAGGGTGAGGGAGATCCCTTCTACGAGGTGCTGGGGCTGGTGACACTGGAGGACGTCATCGAGGAGATCATCAAATCGGAGATCCTGGATGAGTCAGATACATACAGTAGGTTTTGGGCTTGGCCGCTTTCCCCGCTTCGTTGCGTGCCGGGGTCCCTCCAGCCCCCTCTGACACCCTGCTCCCCACAGCTGACAACCGCAGTAAGAAGCGGGTGGGCAACCAGAAGAACAAACGAGACTTCTCGGCCTTCAAGGACCCCGTCAACGAGCTGAAGGTGAAGGTCTCCCCGCAGCTGCTGCTGGCCGCTCACCGCTTCCTCTCCACGGGTGAGGGGTTTTTTTTTT